CAACTTGAAGTATGACTTTAAGAGTCACTTTTATCTTTTCTTTTTTATTAACAAACATTTTACTCAAAAATTTAACTTTCAATAATCAAGAAAAGTCAAGTAATACCTTTGATATCAATGGCAAGAAAGTTTCTTAAAAAAATAAAAATTGATTATAAAATACTTAAAAATCTTTTTAATTTTTAAAGCAAAAGATTAATAGAAATTTTTTATAATAAAAAGATTTATTTTATTTTATTTTTTATTATCTTAATTCTCTAGAGCTTCTATTTTTATAGTTTTCTGAAGAATTTTGCTTATCTCAATTTGAACTTAAATTTTGGATAACACAAATCCTTATCAAAAATAATTAATTAACATAGAATATATTAGTTTTAAAATATAAACAAGTTTTTATTAATTATATTTATATGCTTCAATGATATCATTAGTAATTGAAAAGAATACTTTGAAAATATTTATCTTTAGAAGTTCAAGTTTCTTAATAAAGATATTTAGGATATTAAAATATCAAGTGATAAATAATAGAAATTATAAACTTTTATCTTTTACTTAAATTATTTAAATAGTATTAAAGCTTTAATAGAAAAAAGTTGAGATTTAAATACTTTCCTTGAGATATTCCAATCTGATACTTATTTAAATGAAGAATTAATTGAATTGATTTGTTCAATATCACTGATAATAAAAAAAAAAAAGATTTATTTTAAAATTAAAATAAAGCAAAAAGATTATTTCAATTAGATTAATTCTTTTTAAAAAGAAATTGTTTTTATTTTTGAACTTTTTTAATGAATTTTAAATTGTTTCTTTTTTTAAATTATTATTATTTTTTTTCTTTTTAACTTAATAATTTATTGATTTTTGATTTAATCAATAGTAATAAACTATTAATAATAGTTCTGGTAGATAAAAGTCATAATCAATTTATTAAGAAAGTATAATATTGGTTTTAAAATCCATCATATTATGAAAGTTTATAAATTATTATAGATTTTGTTTTAATTTTACAATAAAGACAAGTCATAATAGTATAATTGCAGATTAAAAATATAATATTCAAGTGAACTATCTATTGTATACTGTATTATATAATTGTAAAAGTTTTTTGTTGCATAAAAAATATTAATGTCAACGACGACGACAGGACTTGAACCTGTGCGGGCAGAGCCCATGTGATTTCTAGTCACACTCCTTAACCACTCGGACACGTCGTCCGGAATATAAGAACGATGCCTGCAATTTTAAGGAAATTATTGTTCCACCTATGACAAAGCATGACTTAGATATGAATGAGATAATAAGGAGTTCTAAAAAATACGGGGTGGAACTACAAACCTTTCCTTTTAAAAAAGAAACGTCGTTCCTCTTTCCCACAACTTTGTTCAGTCCAGTCTCAAAAAAAAAACCAGAAACAATGAGCTTTTTAATTTTCAAGTCAAAACACAAGACACCACATGATTTGGTAAAGAATTTGAAAGACGCAATTAACAGGTTGGACGGTTTAGAGAAAAAGAAGGTTTGTAAATTTATCGTTGGTTTATCATTAGCTTCACTCCGATACGGGTAAAGGTTTTGAAAGTATTTCAAAAAGTTCCTTAACATCGTCAGGAGAGGTTACCATGATACATTCATTATTTAATAAGAATGGTTCCTGACCTCTCAAAAGCCTGTATAGTGATAAATATAAGAAGAATGGTCCTCACCAAATGTCATTTCGTAGGCGAGCGAAGACATATCGAAAAATTTAGCTACGATGAAGACCATCCTTTATGGAGATGGAGGTAAGAAGTAATACCATTCTTTGATTTTTCTGTTTCTGATTTTCATTTGTTTCATCTGCAATAAACCACATTAATCAATCGAATACGATCTTAATTTTTAAACTTAGAAAGTGATCCAGTACCAGAAACTGTCGCACAACTAGCACAAGAAGTTTACACTAATGATATTTTACAATTACTAGCGCAAAATATTTGGAGGTTTGAATTCGAGGTCAGTGTCTAATGGGAAAACATATATATATTACCTAATATCCTCACATTAAATTTTTTTTTTTTTTCAAATACCAGGCAAAGAAAGATGTATCACATATATTCAATAACCTTTTAAGAAGACAAATTGGTTCATTGACACCGACAGTAGATTATTTAAGGAGTAGAGGAGAAATTCTATTCACGCTACTCAAAGGGTTAGCTCGTTATTCAGATCTTTCGTTTATAAGTTACGATCTGTATATATAACCATTCCTTTCATAGATATGAGAATCAAGAAATAGCGCTCAATTGCGGAATGATCCTGAGAGAATGCCTTCGACATGAATCATTGACTAAAATCATTTTATACTCTCCTCAATTTTATAATTTCTTCGAATATGTTGAAATGAGTACATTTGATATCGCAAGCGACGCCTTTGCCACATTTAAGGTAATTTTATTTATACCATGCTGCTGAGTATTAACAATGTGGTCAGCTTCCGCTAAGTTTTTTAAATAACAGGAAATATTAACCCGCCACAAAACCCTTGTGGCCGAATTTTTGGATGCCAATTATGACACGGTATGATGATAAATGTTAATGTTACTTTAAGTTATACGCACGCATTAGCTAAACTTCGATTTACCGTTTTGACAGTTTTTCAGGTGTTACACCAAACTGTTGAATTCTAATAATTACGTGACTAAGCGGCAGTCCCTAAAGGTAAGTTATAATACATTCTTGGGATTACATACTAAATTTTTTGGCATATTTAATATCACGCATTAATATCGCCTTCAAATTTAGCTTCTTGGTGAAATTTTATTGGACCGTTGTAATTTTAATGTTATGACAAAATATATTGCTAATGCAGAGAATTTGAAGTTGATGATGAATTTACTAAGAGATAAGAGTCGTAACATTCAATTCGAAGCGTTTCACGTGTTTAAGGTATTACAAAGACTACCCTTTGCCTCTATTCGAGATCTTGATTCGGAACATCGGTAACCTGCTTTCTTTCGAATGATAGATATTTGTGGCAAACCCAAACAAAGATAAGCCTATTTTGGACATTCTGAAAAATAACAGAGAAAAATTAATTCATTTTTTGAAAAATTTTCACAATGACCGCCATGGTTCGTTTTCGTTATTCATTCATATCGTTTTATTCTCTTTAATTAATTCTAATTTATTATTATTATTATTTTTTTTTTAAAATATATATATATATATATATATATATATAGATGACGAGCAGTTCAATGATGAAAAAACGTTTTTATTGAGACAAATTGAGGACTTGAAATAATAAATATTGTTTATTCGAGAATTGGACTAACAGAAGCTTGTGAGAGATTGTGGGCGCGTTTTTCCCAGTCGATTCTAGAATAGTTTAAATGATAGCAATATGTCAATTAAACACTCGGAAAATATAATAATAATCATTTGAATAGAATTTTTGTTTCACCCTATTACTGTACTTACATATAAGGGTTCATGAAATGGTTTCCTGGTGAAACAAACGAAGAGTGCGATCCTATATTGCATTGAATCTAGTAACTGATCGTTGTCTGAGTGCTAAAGCATTATTTCATATATACCTAATCATTCTGAAATGACTTGCTAAGTTAAGTTTTTTCACCAGTTAATTAAACTACTGGTTTTAGGTGATAACGCAAATTTCAATTTTTTCTGATTTGCAAGTTTACCAGAGCATTTCTCTTTTTGCTATGAAATCTAAGTAGATATGCTTTTTAAATAATTTAGATTAATTATTATCAGATAATTTTAATTTATTGTTTAATATTTAATTTAAATATAATTTAATGAATATACTATATATAAATAATATTCTTATATTAAAGATCGTCCCCGTTCGATCCTTTCAATAATATGACTATATAAGGGGATTGAACCCTAACATCCATTTATTCTCCTTATCTCATGAACCTGCACGATCTGCAAACTTCCGATCCATAAATTCCATTTTCAAATATATATCGTATTATACTATTAAACAAAAAGTTATTGTAATTGATATTTAATATATATTTTCAATTCACAATTAGATTAATATAGTTTGTCTTTATTATAATTAATATTTAATTTAAATATTATTTTTAAAAAATATATAATACAAGACAAAAATAATTAAATTAAAATAGTTTTTAACGTATGGTATAATTATATTTAAAAATAATATAAAGATAAAGTTATTTAAAAAAAATTTTTTTTTTTTTTATCTAATATCAAGTTAATATTTATCTTTTATTATATATTAAAAACATTTATAATTTAAATAACTTTTATATATCAACTCTTCCATTTTTGAATTTTAACATTTTATTTTGTTTTTTTTATAGTTTAAATTATAATATAATAGAATTACTTCAAAAAATAAAATTATAATAGAATTATTATGTTTTTAATAATAATTAATAAAATCAATTAATGATAAAATTATAATAAAATTTTTTTTTTTTTTTTTTTTTTTTTTTTTTTTAACCCGCAATCATGCCACAATG